AACCGAAATTTGTCATCCTTGTTTTCTGTCGCTCACTAAAAGACTTTATAACAGATTGGAGATTTGATGTGTCCTCAGTGGATGACGTTCTCGCACAAATTCTGATATCACCTGCGAAGGACGCTATGGTGCTGTGATTTATATCAGTGTCTAGTGTATACTGGATATGAGGATGAGAAATTGAATTAAGTGAGAACTATACCACGAGGAATAGTGTGTTTCATTTTTGCAGTCTGGTTTTACTGCGTTCATTATTACTCTCTGCGTTCTGTTTGTTGGGAAGCTAAAAGTCCATCTGCCAACTTTTCCAGTTATTCCCTTTGCAACACATTTTGTGCTCTCTATCACACCATGATAACACTTGTCCAAGGCTTTTGAAAAATCTATGCACGCTACATCTGCGTTTTGTCGTAATGGTCCAGTACTTGCAAGAGGCAGAAGTGACCTGCTCTAAGCTTGGGTTGCTCTGGGTTACGAATCTGTGACGAACAATCGTGCTTCTTAAAACTTTTGATTTGAATAATGTTGGGTATTAGTACCGTCAATCTATAATTTTATGCAACTGCTTTGCTACCACCTTTGTGGAGTGCAGTTAAATCCGGTCTTAAACGGTAGTGGGATGACACCTGTGTCCAGGCTCCCTCGCCATAGAATATTTATGGCACATAAAAGGGGTTTCTTGCGACAGTCTTGATGAATATGGAGTTCCAGGAGTCTGGGCCTCAGCAGAGAGCAACGGCATGCTATTAATGACTTCACATGCGAGTGGAGTTAACGTTATGTTGGAAATTTTGTCGATTTTTAACAATTTTGAGCCTTACTCATGAAGAATGCATTTGGATCATCAATCATTAGCCTGATTAATGGCTCGCTTAACACAAAGTCGTATTGTGACCTTTGTATTTCATTCATTTACCCTTTGTCATCAGTTTAACTTTCATTTCCTTTAGGTAAATATCCGATATTAGACGCGATTTTTGTCCTGGGTTTTGCATACAAGGAAAAAATATTGAGGATGTCTTCAAATTTCAGTAATGTCTTTTTCCTCCTGTCAATTTCTCCTGTACTCTGTATGGTTCAACACGTTTGAGCAGTAGACGGTAGTAGCACTGGCGCCACCATCACAACCATGTAGCAGTTGCAACAGCATCACTTGAAAGAAGTTGTACTTTCGTGTGGAAGCATCATCATTACATGGGAGCAGTGGGAGCAGCACCACCATCACCACCACCACGTGAGAGCATCACCACCACGTGAGAGCATCACCACCACGTGATGTACACAACACGCTATAATGACATTCTTCATAATTCCCGTCATTACTTGGCTCACTCACCACAAAAACGTAACAAGCAACTGTGAACGCTGGGTTTTATTAATCGCCCTCTCACAGCCGGGTCACCCACTCACAGCCAGGTCCCTAACTCACCGCCCCATCACAGCCAGGTACCCCCACTCACCTCCCCCATCACAGCCAGGTCGTCCCCTCCCCACCACTCACCACCCTATCACAACCAGGTTCCCCCCCCCCACTCACCGCCCTATTACAACCAGGTTCCCCCCCCCACTCACCGCCCTCTCACAGCCAGGTTCCTCCACTCACCGCCCCATCACAGGCAGGTTCCCCCACTCACCGCCCTCTCACAGCCAGGTTCTCCCCACTCACTGCACTATCATAGCCAAGTCCCCCACTCACCGCCCTATCACAGCCAGGGTCTCCCCACTCACCGCCCTCTTACAGCCAAGTCCCCCCACTCACTCCTCCGCTCCGCCTCACCCCCCCCCCAAAAAAAAAGTTATACGTGAAAATATAAACACAATGGTTTGTTTACAGTTTTAAAGTGATGGAGCTGGGTGTGGCAACACAAGGCTGCAGGATACATCAACCAGCAACTGTCCATCAAGTGGAAAAATAAGATTAAATTACAGTTTTATACAGGCATATACTGTCAATCCATCAGGTGTATACTGGCCCCCAGTCATCCATCAGGTGTATACTGGCCCCCCAGTCATCCATCAGGTGTATACTGGCCCCCCAGTCATCCATCAGGTGTATACTGGCCCCCCAGTCATCCATCAGGTGTATACTGGCCCCCAGTCAATCCATCAAGTGTATACTGACCCCCCGGTCATCCATCAGGTGTATACTGGCCCCCCCAGTCATCCATCAGGTGTATACTGGCCCCCCCAGTCATCCATCAGGTGTATACTGGCCCCCCCCAGTCATCCATCAGGTGTATACTGGCCCCCAGTCAATCCATCAGGTGTATACTGGCCCCCCCAGTCATCCATCAGGTGTATACTGCCCCCCCAGTCATCCATCAGGTGTATACTGGCCCCCAGTCATCCATAAGGTGTATACTGCCCCAGTACTCCATCAGGTGTATTACTAAACAACACAGATGTTAGTTCAAGTGTAGCTTCTTGGCTGCACATGTTTTGTAGTGTGACGACAGATATTTTACGGGTGTTGTGTGTAGGCTTGAGGAAGCAAGACGACTTAGGCTTGAAGTTATTAATACAATCATTTATCCAACGTAAACATAATAAATTAATAACAAATTATGTGAATTGCTGACACAGTAATGTGTGTGTACTTGTGGTTTTTGTTTTGTGTACTTGTGGTTGTACGTGTGCTTGTTAGTGTACTAAGCCAGCGTGCAGTCCTTTAACGGGTGAAACTGCGCACTCCAGCGCCAACTTGAAAACGACCAGAAACACTTAAACACAATGCTAAAATAGAAAAAGAGATGAGGGCGCCGCCGCAAGAAAAACACAAACATGGCGCTCAAGGTAACAAGTGGAAACTCTGCAACATTGCAACACTTTGGCAGAAGTGAAACAAAATATGCAGTAGTACTGTGAGGGTTAGAAGAAGCAACTTAAGAGACTGGTGAGGGGAGATGCACAGTAAGGGTGAGGGGAGATGCACAGTAAGGGTGAGGGGAGATGCACGGTGTAAGACACAGCAGCAAGTTCTCACGAGAAACATGCACAGTGAGGAGAAGTATTTTAGAAATAGCGGTTTATTAAGAACAGTTAGCAGTATATGGGTAAAAATAAGCAGACGAAATAATAATAACACATATGCATATATACTATATATAAATTCATATATAATGGAGCTTCAAGGTGTAATAAACACTTATCAGTAAAAGTAACTCACATATCAACAAAGACAGGAAAGTTCTGAATATTTACTTAAATTGAGGTCCTCTTCAGCAGAACGCAAAGAGTAAAACACCTTTTATATAACTGTGTGGATAGGCGAGACGAGTATCTGGGTTTGGTGGTCCATGAACCAGGAGCTTAGCTTCAGTTTTACGCCTCGTACTAGTGAGCCTTCCTGGTCACGTGTCACTGTGATTGTGGCGATTCCCAATTAAATTCGGTACTAATATTTAATGCCTTAATACAAAGTTCACCGTTACATCGGATTTTTAAGTGCTCTTTTGACTGATCAAAGTTTGGGTATTGGACTAGTAACGCTGCTGCAAGTGGTTTCCTTTTCTAGGCTTCTTCCTTTATGTGGGTAACAGCTGAACTTTCCCGGCTGAGGGTGAGTGTAGCTGAACTTTCCCGGCTGAGGGTGAGAGTATAGCTTGTAATGAGTTAGATATACTGTCGGAAGATTGTAAAACTTTCTTGTATATATAACAAACCGATCGTGTCTGTTGTGTTATTCCGGTTCTTAAATATTTTCCTGTCTCGTCGAAAAAACTTACGGATGTGGTAGGGTACCTGATAAACACCTGTATTTTCCTGTCGATAGGTTTCTTGTAATAAGAAAAAGCTGTCAGTTTTGTTGGGATTTGAGAAAATAATGTAAGTGATGTTTCTGCAGGTTTCCTTAATCATAGAATGAAAGGGAATTACCAGTTGTATTGATAGTTCTTTCCTACACTTCCTCTGTATCAACCATAGAGTCATTTTCCTCAACTCTGGTGAGCCCCGTTTGGATCAACCAACCTGGGTGTCCTAACTGCAAAATGGCTTTCAGATGGTTACGTCCTCTTGGTCAACGAGGGAAGAGCTGCAAATTCTCAGTTCCTGTAATTGGAGATTGTAACTCTGGCTTTTAACTTTTTACGAGTGTTGAGTAAATAAATGTACACAGTTTGCCATGAGTATCGGCTTCCTGTACACGATAAGCGTTTCTGGCTCACTGTTGTTTCCACCCGTGTGGGTTGGTTACTACGGTTCATTGATAAGTGTTCATTAAACCTTACAAATTTATATACATACACATAGCTATAGGTAGGTGCTGAAGGCAGTTTTCTCATCATTACAAACTGTTTAAAGGGAAGACTAGTACTAGCGTCAGAAGGGTACACAATGCACTGTGACAATCTAAATTGTATTAAGCTGTATAGGATCATTCACTTCTCTAAGACTAATATGGTAGCTGAGAGGTGGTAGGCAACACAGCAGCGGACACTCAGCATCTCATCTGATGTAGGTCTGCCAGTAATCAACGGCTGCTAGTATGAAACTAATTTTGTGAATTTAGTGCTGTGTAGTGTCTTGCTGTGTGGCGAACTCACATGAAAATACAATAAGAGGGTAACGTGCGGGAAAGTCTAGCCTCCCCCCCCCCACAGCCTCGTCCACCCACCAGACACACGACAGAACGTTACAAAGATCATTTAGGAGCATGACAATACGTCAACAACAAATCAGTATTATCAAGAGCTATTCTGAATTCCATGGACCTAATCGCTATACGGAAATTCTGTACTGTCAATCATAAGATAATCATTAACAAAAAAAAAAAAAAAAAAAAAAAAAGGCCTCAGGTCGGGCATTGCAATACGATGGAACAATCATGTCAATTTTCTCTGATTTCGTAAAAAAAAAGTTAATATAAGCCTAAATTCATCTGAACGGCCTTTAGATATATAAAAAAGTGACACTGCAAGTGTGTGTTTAGGGTGGGTGGTTGGGTGGGTGGTGGAGAGGGCGGGGCAGCAAGGATGTACAAACAGGGCGGGACAACTTACCGAAACCATCGTGCTTAAAGATATCACCAGTGAAGCCTGTGTCCGACTCTAGCACACCCTGAAACACAAGTACAGAGATAACACACTGTAGCTCCTGGTACACCCAAACAGCCTCGTAATATTACCTGCTTTTAACTCAGTATATTCCGCTAATGCATAACTATATTAAATATTGCTTTAGCTATAAATCTACAAAGGACAAAAATATAAATTACATTAATAACTTTAATATATAAATTATATACATACACTTGTGTGTGTGTACACACACGTAGATAAAAAAACAGGTCATATTGACCTTAGGGGAAGTAAGAAGGCTGGGGAATATAGAAGGAAGACCCATGCTAAATGGCAGCCGGAGTTTCGTATACAATCACCTGAATGGAAGCAGCAAAAATACACATGTAATTATAAATCAATCATATGAGAGTTTATAGACTAATGAATAATGCAAGCCTAATAAAGGAGACCACTACAATAGTTAATTTTTTTATACAGACCGGACAACAGTAGTGACGAGCATGCAAGGTGACCTGTGTAAGTGATCATGCAGGGAACCTTACATATTGTTCTGCACACGAGTGTTGCTGTCACATCCAGCAGTTTGTATGGCAGTCACACAGCAGTTTGTGGCGCTGGCTGCCAGGCCAGCTAGCTAGCAGGCTGGCTAGTTGGCCTGCTGGCAAGCTAACAGCCTACGGGCTGGCAAGCTAACAGCCTGAGGGCTGGCCTGCTGGCAAGCTAACAGCCTGAGGGCTGGCCTACTGGCAAGCTAACAGCCTGAGGGCTGGCAAGCTAACACAGCCTGAGGGCTGGCAAGCTAACACAGCCTGAGGGCTGGCAAGCTAACACAGCCTGCGGGCTGGCAAGCTAACAGCCTGCGGGCTGGCAAGCTAACACAGCCTGCGGGCTGGCAAGCTAACACAGCCTGCGGGCTGGCAGGCTAACACAGCCTGCGGGCTGGCAAGCTAACACAGCCTGCGGGCTGGCAAGCTAACACAGCCTGCGGGCTGGCAAGCTAACACAGCCTGCGGGCTGGCAAGCTAACACAGCCTGCGGGCTGGCAAGCTAACACAGCCTGCGGGCTGGCAAGCTAACACAGCCTGCGGGCTGGCAAGCTAACACAGCCTGCGGGCTGGCAAGCTAACAGCCTGCGGGCTGGCAAGCTAACACAGCCTGCGGGCTGGCAAGCTAACACAGCCTGCGGGCTGGCAAGCTAACACAGCCTGCGGGCTGGCAAGCTAACACAGCCTGCGGGCTGGCAAGCTAACAGCCTGCGGGCTGGCCTGCTGGCAAGCTAACACAGCCTGCGGGCTGGCCTGCTGGCAAGCTAACACAGCCTGCGGGCTGGCCTGCTGGCAAGCTAACACAGCCTGCGGGTTGGCCTGCTGGCAAGCTAACACAGCCTGCGGGCTGGCCTGCTGGCAAGCTAACACAGTCTGCGGGCTGGCCTGCTGGCAAGCTAACACAGCCTGCAGGTTGGCCAGCTAACTAGCTTACAGGTTGGCCAGCTAACTAGCTTGCAGGCTGGCCAGCTAACTAGCTTGCAGGCTGGCCAGCTAACTAGCTTGCAGGCTGGCCAGCTAACTAGCTTGCAGGCTGGCCAGCTAACTAGCTTGCAGGCTGGCCAGCTAACTAGCTTGCAGGCTGGCCAGCTAACTAGCATGCAGGCAGGCCAGCTAACTAGCTTGCAGGCAGGCCAGCTAACTAGCTTGCAGGCAGGCCAGCTAACTAGCATGCAGGCAGGCCAGCTATCTAGCTTGCAGGTTGGCCAGCTAACTAACTTGCAGGCTGGCCAGCTAACTAGCTTGCAGGCTGGCCAGCTAACTAGCTTGCAGGCTGGCCAGCTAACTAGCTTGCAGGTTGGCCAGCTAACTAGCTTGCAGGCTGGCCAGCTAACTAGCTTGCAGGCTGGCCAGCTAACTAGCTTGCAGGCAGGCCGGCTGGCCAGCTAGCAAGCTTGCAGGCTGGCCAGCCAACTAGCTTGCAGGCTGGCCAGCTAACTAGCTTGCAGGCTGGCCAGCTAACTAGCTTGCGGGTTGGCCAGCTAACTAGCTTGCAGGCTGGCCACCTAACTAGCTTGCAGGCTGGCCAGCTAACTAGCTTGCAGGTTGGCCAGCTAACTAGCTTGCAGGCTGGCCAGCTAACTAGCTTGCAGGCTGGCCAGCTAACTAGCTTGCAGGCTGGCCAGCTAACTAGCTTGCAGGCAGGCCGGCTGGCTGGCTAGCAAGCTTGCAGGCTGGCCAGCTAACTAGCTTGCAGGCTGGCCAGCTAACTAGCTTGTAGGCAGGTCAGCTGGCTGGCTAGCTAGCAAGCTTGCAGGCTGGCCAGCTAACTAGCTTGCAGGCTGGCCAGCTAACTAGCTTGCAGGTTGGCCAGCTAACTAGCTTGCAGGTTGGCCAGCTAACTAGCTTGCAGGCTGGCCAGCTAACTAGCTTGCAGGCAGGCCGGCTGGCCAGCTAGCAAGCTTGCAGGCTGGCCAGCCAACTAGCTTGCAGGCTGGCCAGCTAACTAGCTTGCAGGCTGGCCAGCTAACTAGCTTGCGGGTTGGCCAGCTAACTAGCTTGCAGGCTGGCCACCTAACTAGCTTGCAGGCTGGCCAGCTAACTAGCTTGCAGGTTGGCCAGCTAACTAGCTTGCAGGCTGGCCAGCTAACTAGCTTGCAGGCTGGCCAGCTAACTAGCTTGCAGGCTGGCCAGCTAACTAGCTTGCAGGCAGGCCGGCTGGCTGGCTAGCTAGCAAGCTTGCAGGCCAGCTAACTAGCTTGCAGGCTGGCCAGCTAACTAGCTTGTAGGCAGGTCAGCTGGCTGGCTAGCTAGCAAGCTTGCAGGCTGGCCAGCTAACTAGCTTGCAGGCTGGCCAGCTAACTAGCTTGCAGGCAGGCCAGCTGGCTGGCTAGCTAGCAAGCTTGCAGGCTGGCCAGCTAACTAGCTTGCAGGCAGGCCAGCTGGCTGGCTAGCTAGCAAGCTTGCAGGCTGGCCAGCTAACTAGCTTGCAGGCAGGCCAGCTGGCTGGCTAGCTAGCAAGCTTGCAGGCTGGCTAGCTAGCAAGCTTGCAGGCTGGCCAGCTGGCTGGCTAGCTAGCAAGCTTGCAGGCTGGCTAGCTAGCAAGCTTGCAGGCTGGCCAGCTGGCTGGCTAGCTAGCAAGCTTGCAGGCTGGCCAGCTAACTAGCTTGCAGGCAGGCCAGCTGGCTGGCTAGCTAGCAAGCTTGCAGGCTGGCTAGCTAGCAAGCTTGCAGGCTGGCCAGCTGGCTGGCTAGCTAGCAAGCTTGCAGGCTGGCTAGCTAGCAAGCTTGCAGGCAGGCCAGCTGGCTAGCAAGCTTGCAGGCTGGCTAGCTAGCAAGCTTGCAGGCTGGCCAGCTGGCTGGCTAGCTAGCAAGCTTGCAGGCTGGCCAGCTAACTAGCTTGCAGGCAGGCCAGCTGGCTGGCTAGCTAGCAAGCTTGCAGGCTGGCTAGCTAGCAAGCTTGCAGGCTGGCTGTCTGGCGCAGTGAAAGTGTAGTTGGTAATACTCGGTCACTTGCTGCTGATGGTTGCCTCATGACGTCACAACCCTCGGGGGCTCAGACGATCACATTAGACTACACAACTACACACTTGTGTACGTACATGTTCCAGTACACATATTACAGGAGAGAGAGAGAGAGAGAGAGAGAGAGAGAGAGAGAGAGAGAGAGAGAGAGAGAGAGAGAGAGACCAGCTATTAGTTTGCTATAACACTAGAAATGTCTGGATAATCAACACTTTCAACATCCATATCAATCTGCAACTAGTCTGACTAATTCACTATCACTAAACTATTCGGTTATTTTCTATAATTCCTATCCATAATTCAAAGGACAATTTTTTTTTTCATGATAAATTTAGAGGTAACGGTAAATATCACCAACAGTTATACCGAGGAAACAAAAAATGATGGGTTGTTATTGATAAATTAGACACATGTGCAACTCTTGGGTATCTTTATTGAGGAAACGTTTCGCCACACAGTGGCTTCATCAGTCCATACATAGGAGAAACTTGAAGAACAGGAGGAGAATGAGGTAATCAGTCCCTCAACCTTGAGTCGATGTGTTCAGTCCATCAATCTTGAGTAGAATACGGCAGATGAGCGGAGAAGCAGCTTATAAACCGTATGGCAGGAGAGGTGTAGCAGTCATAGGTAGTGTCACATTTGTTCAATGTGGAAGTAGGTTGTGCCCAAGAATTAGGCAAGCGAAGAATTCCTAAGTATTAAGATCCCAAGAAGTTGCAGTGTCTGACAGGTTTGTAGATGAATGGTTCAGAGAACCGACATGTTGATAAATTAGACACATGTGCAACTCTTGGGTATCTTTATTGAGGAAACGTTTCGCCACTGTGTGGCGAAACGTTTCCTCAATAAAGATACCCAAGAGTTGCACATGTGTCTAATTTATCAACATGTCGGTTCTCTGAACCATTCATCTACAAAGGGTTGTTATTACACGCAAATTTATATAAAGCTTAGGGAAGGGGAGGTAATCAGGTTCAGTTCAAGGAAAGAGAGGATAAGTTCGTTTCCTTGGTCATCCCTAGACGACCCAAGTTGAAAATGAGTATAAGCAGTGGTGACTGTCACTTGACCTCCAGGTGAAGAGGAGCGGTACCTCGGACTTCACCTGACCACCAGGTAGAGAGAAGCGGTGCCCAGTGACTCACTGGACTTCCAGGTGAAGAGGCATGGTACCTACGACTGTCATCTAACCTATGGATGCATAACCCAAGTTCCCCCTGTACCTCAGTGCATGCGAAATGCATAGTGCAGCATAAGTCTGCAATGCACTTAAATATTAGAATTAAAGGTATCAAGCGATAGGGAAGAGGCCGTCACAGGTATCACATGGATACTAATATCCCATTTTTTGTTAATAAAATTTAAAAATTAGGATATACACCAAGAAAGACCAGCATTAAAAGTTTAAAGCCATAGTGTATTATGGGACATTGATAAAACACTAAGTTTGAAGCCGCCCAGATGATGCATTATCATGCTATTTGGTTGAAGGTTTAAAACTAATCAGATGAGAAGCTCTTAAATTA